GGGTGGGCCGGCGTGGGTCCTGCTGAAGCGCCATGAGGTGGACCCTGACTTCAACTCCTCCCTTGAGATCTCGAGATCTGGGCGGCTGCTGGCCATGGGGCAGTCGGAGGGCGCGCTGCTGGTGGGCTGCGAGGGTGTGGCTGCTGCGCCTGCTGCTGCTGCTGCTGCTGCTGCTGCTGCTGCTGCTGCTGCTGCTGCTGCTGCTGCTGCTGCTGCTGCTGCTACTGCTGCTGCTGCTGCCGCCGCCGCCGGCGCTGCCGCCGGCGCCGCCGCGGCGTCGCGCCGCGCGAACCGCCCCTCGCCTCCCCAGCTGCTTACCACCCACCCGTGGCCGGGCCCGGGCGGCGCCTGCGGGCCTGCGGCTGGGCGCCGCGGCACGCCACGCGAAGCCCGCGCCCGTCACGCCCGCGATCGGCCGCCAACGCCATGTGACATATTCCACCCTCCACCAACACAAAGTTGCGCGTGTGCGGCCGCGACCTTGCCCGCGCAGATCGTGGACCCGCGCTCCCTGCACGTGGTGAAGCGCGAGCCCAAGGCCAGCATGGCGTTTGTGACGCGCGTCGTGTTCAGCGACGACGATGCGCGCGTCCTGGCGGTGGGCGGCGACGCCAACGCGTTCGTGCTGGAGTTGAGAGCACACGGCGGCGGTGGCGGTGGCGGGTGCGTCCCATTGTGTTGCGTGGCGGGCTGGGAGCCTGTGCCTTTGGTTGGGTCGCGTCGCTGCCGCGGCAGGGGTCGCCTCCTGTTGGATGCAGGGTGCCGACTCTTCATTCAATGATCAATTAGGCCGGCGTGCTCGCCAGACTCGTCCCGACCGACGTCCCCGCCCCGCCCTCCCTGCCCCTGCGCAGCGGCGGCCTCTTCCTCTCGCTCCTGCTGCTGCTCCTGGCGGCCGCCGCGGGGGCCGCGTTCCTGCTTTACGCCCAGCCGGACCGCATGCGGCAGGCGCAGGAGCTGTGGGAGGAGCTGCAGCAGCACAAAATTGTGCGGGGCGGCCTGCAGCTGCTGCGGCGGCAGGCGGAGCGCGTGCGGCCGCACGTGGAGCGGCACTTGGAGGCGGCGCGGCCGCACCTCAGCCGGGTGCAGTCTCAGGTGGAGCGGCTCGTGCGGGGGGAGAGAGACGAGCTCTGACTTTCTTCAAGCTGACATGCTGGAAACCAGGAAAGGCAGCTGTAATATGCTGCTTGGGTTTGTCCAGGATTGGCTGCAAAAACTTGGTGGATGTTGACTGACGGCACGCAGCATTGGGTGGTGCGAAGCTGCTGCCAAGCGGTGTCAGTGAAGCCAGCGGCGTCAGGTGAGCCAGCTGTGTGACTATCCCCTGTGTATACCTTTGCATCCAACCTGATCTGGGGCAGAGCGCTGCAGTTACAAGGCCACGGCGTACACGCATGACGGAAAGAATGGGGCACGGCGACACAAACTCCCAGGCTCGCTGGACAGGTGGTTATGCGACTCCCCGTCGCAGAAGGGTGCAAGCAGGTCGCTTGCCTGCCGGCCGATGGGGGCCGCTGACGGAAAGCGACGGGTGTTGGCAGAGACGACTTTAATAATGACTGTCACTCCAGAAAATGGAGGGAGGTATGAGGCGGACCCAAGCGGCCTCTATCCCAGGCGAGCGTTGACAAAAAAAAGCAAGGTGCAACAATGAAAACTAGGTTTGGGCTCGAAATTGGAGAGCGCTAGACACGTGTGCAGCCATCCCACAAAAATACCAGGTTGAGCAAAACCCTCTCAGGCTCAGAAGAAGCCCGCACCACAACCAGCCGTGTGTCCCAGCACGTGTGCGTGCTCATGCCACCTCCGCCTCCGCCTCCGGCTCCCGCACATGCACAAACAGCGACCCCTTGCTGCCGCGCGTCACCCTGACGTCATCGCTCAGGTACAGCCAGTCGACAAAGCCCGTCCCTTTGATAGGCAGCGGCACCCGCAGCTTGCCGCCCAGCACCGACAAGAACGCCCCCCCAATGTTGACGTCCGTCCGCGCGTCGCCCTCTGCGGCGCAGGTCGCCTGCGCGCGGATCTGGAGCGCCCCGAGGTCAACGACGTTTTCCAAGGTTCCCTCGGACGCATCGATGATCTGGAGCGAGCGCGCCTGCTGGGAGCCCCTGCGGGGCGGCGGGCGTGCAGGGAGTTGGGTGCAGGGGCGTCCAGGTCATTGACATGGGGACAGGTATGAGGTTCTGAGGCTCCACCGTTGGAGCAGCATGGAGACTTGCGCAGTGGGAGGTGCACGGCTCCGACACGCGAGTGATCTGACGGTAAAGGGGGCCTGTCGTCCAACCACACCCGCCGCAGGCCGCCTCAACGCGCCCCACCCACCGTGACGCAGCGAGGCGCCCCCACACCGCCCGCCCTCCCCCGGCGCGACCCACCACTTCTGCAGGGGCGACGCGTTTTCTGCCTGCTGCGACCACACCAGCCGCCACGTGCCGCCGACCCTGTCCGACTGCGCTGGCTGTGGTGTGGGGTTCTCTGACTGTATGAGGCCCACCAACGAGAGCACCAGCTCGTCCTCCTTCGCCTCGATGGCTGAGAGCAGCTGGGACTCCAGGCTGACGCCCTCCTGGGGGGCCTGCGCGGGGTGTGGGGCGCAGGAGGGTGGCGAGACGCGCGTGTCTGGGTGGTGCGTAGAGGGGGGTCGAAACAGACGTTGCGAGGCGCAAGTGGGACGGGGCTTTGAACGACTGTGGGTCTTGTCGGATCGGTATTGCAAGGCAGGGCACCGCAACACTGCACAGAACGGCTGGATCAGTCTTGTATAGCGCCCACCTTCACCAGCACGAAGAGGGTGCCTGTGCAGGACATCAAGGTGCAGTCGGGGGGGGGGTGGCTGAGTGACAGATGCCTCTTTGCGGTCACATCCGATCAGTTGGGTGTGTTCCAAGCCAACCGCACCAGCAGCCACCTCCAGTCTGCCCACGCATGCGTTGCGTCATGCCCCTAGCGCACACGGCCAACAATCGGGCCGAAATCGCGCCGCCCACCCTTGTTCCCGCGCGCCAGGCGGAAGGTGCCGTCCTGGTTCATGTATGTGGTGTCGATCCAGCCCTGCAGATCAAATGAAGTAGTGAAAGGCAGTGGTTCAAATATGGAAACCGCCAAGGCTGGCACCATGCAGTCATACTGATGGCAGCTTCCGCGCACGGACGCAACGCTCTGCACAACGCACGCGCTTCGGAGGGCACCGACAGCTGTGTTGCATCAGCGGGGCGGCGGGCGCAACGGTGGATGTGCGCGCGCGGGGCCGGCGCAGGTGGCGGACAGGCTCGCCGCCAGGCGCAGGGGGACGGGAGAGGGGGGACGCGCCTTGCGCTCGTCTCCGAGGATGCGGAAGGGCACGGGGTAGGGGATTGAGAAGGGGAGGAACTTGAAGTGGAACGCGGCCTGGTCAAACTGCGGGGGGTGGGCGAGCAGGGGCGCGGATAAAGGTGTGGTGGGTGGATGGTGAGCTCTTGCTGCGGACTTGAGGCGTGGCCGGGGGTTGCAGGCATCGCCCTCCTGCTGGTGAAATCAGATTGGGCAATGGCAGCGTGCCAAGCTCAGCGTGGCAAGCTTATCTGGCCATGTGCACAGCAGTGGGGCTTCGCATTTGAGAAAGAGAAAAAAGCCGCACCTGGAAGTCGATCCGCGAGTTGGGGCGCGCCGGTGGCGTGTTGAAGCTCTTCCCCAGGATGCCAAAGGGCAGCCCCTCACCCACCCTGGGGATCGACACGCAGAATGATGGAATGTCAGCACCACCGGCCGCATGGTTTTGCTTCGTTCTGAGGGCAGCCTGGCCGCTGCCTGCCAGCCATGGCTACTCTCTCGTGCGGACCGCTCACGAGGGTCTCGCCGCGCCTACTGGCGACCACATCCCCCTCCGTCCCTCGCCCCGCTCGCCGCCGCCTCCGTGCGCGCGCCCTCGCAGCAGGGTGCCGCCCCCCCTAGGGCTGCCGCCTCGCACCTGGGGGTGAACCCCTCCAGCGGCCGCGACTCTGTGCTTGCCTTGGCCTGCACGATGAGGTAGCCGATCTCCTCCCCAAAATCGACGACGTTGTTGACGCGCGGCAGGTCAGAGCTCAGATCCACCTCCTGGTAGATCTTGAACGCCTCCACGCCTGCCGACGCCGAATTTGAAAATGGACCGTGGGCGGCGAGGCGGATATCGCGTATGACCGAGAGAGTGCCGCGCGGTGAAATGTGTTTTGCCATCGCCACGCAGATGGGTGGCCCCTGCGTTTTGGAGAGAGGCGGCGAGCCTGCTGCTGTCGCAAGCGGGGCGTCCTACCAGTGAAGGTGCGCTGGATGGGCGAGGCCGAGCCGGGGCGCGAGGTGTACAGCAGCCGCCACTTGCCGTCGATGGCATCAAGCGTGGTGGGATCTGGACGTGTGTGGGCGAACGTCGGGGGACGCGAGCGGCGGGCGGGCAGATGAAGTGGCACCGGGCGGCGGCGACGCGCGGCTGAAGGCTGCCTCATGGCGTGGCGCGAACGCATGTCCGTTCGAGGCCCGCGCAATGCAGGACAGCGCCGCCGCCCGCTGGCCAGCCATGCAAGCGTCATGAGGCGAGGCAGCTGCGAAGCCCGCGGCCGCATGCGCGCATGCATGTTGTTTGCAGCTGCGCGTGCATGTTATTTTGCATGGCATCACCTGCAACGCCGCCGTCCTGCTCCAGGACGGATATCGCGAGGCTGAGCTGCTGCAGCGCCTCCTCGCTGAGGCCCTCCTTGCCGCGCCCCTTGGCGCTGCGCAGCGCGTCCAGCACGGCGAGCTCCGTCGTGGCCCTGCTGCCGGCCTGGTGGGGGAGAGGAGGGAGCCACCGGTTCGGTGGGGGCTGCAAAGGCCACGTGTCCATTTTGCGGTGCCGTCCGCCAGGGAATCCAGCCGCGTCGTGCGAGGCCCGGTGCGGACGCCGTTGCGGCGACGTGCATCGCGCGATTGGAACGGTACATGTAATAGTACCACCCCCAGTCGTTGGGGTGGCGGCATAGAGTGCGACGCAGCGCCTGGTGGGCTGGAGCTCGCCGCCTCGCCCCGACACCGACCACACGCGCGCACACAAACCTTCGTCCTGGTGGTGCCAGCCAGCACTCTGCACGTAACGCGCTCGCGCATAGCACGCACAGACCTCGCTCTAGCCCATTGAGGGCCGCGTGCGATCTGCATTGTCCGTCGTGAACTGTGGCGCTGCTTTTGATGCGGTGGCTGTTGTAGGATGCTATGGGCGCATAACGGCCTATAAACCAACTAACAATATCGGAAATTGCCGCTGGGATGCCCCGAGGAGAGTGGCAATGAGCCAGCTGCAAGTTGGTCCAGGCTTGGTGGTCAGCAGGCTGCAACGGCCCGACGCCACCAGTGACAGCACATCCTGGAAAGAGCAATGAGGAAATGTGCATATACTATTGTATTATTGTTGTGGCCAAGTGGTCAGCAGTCGCCGATGAACCGCCGTTGCCTGTCAATCGCGGCTGACCGTGTTGACTGCATGCACGCAGATTGGCACAGACGCATCACAGCATGAGCCGGCCCATATCAGTGAATGTTGTAGGTTCTCTCGAAAAACTTGTAACCCCCAAAACCTGCCGCGCGTACCCAAAATTTGGAGCGTCGGCGCAGGTGACGGGCGCGCGTCACCAGCTAGAGTTGGCGGCTGCACAGGCAGCAGGTGCTTAGCGCGTTCAAGCGGAAGTAGACTATGTCAGGTAAATTTATCATATCGCGATGAGTTGTAAAGCACACAACTGTGTAGATCGTCTGATCGTGGATCGCAATGGAGGACATGACCAGGCTGCGTCGTGAGCTACTAGAAGTTGACGAGGCCTCGCTTCTGAAGCTGCAGGTGCAATACGCTCGCGCTCCTGCGGTGGCGTAGATGAACGCGCTGCGTCTACGCACAGCGCACAGCGCAGCAGAGCACGCGGCTCAGCGGGGCGTTCAGCGCGTCGCCCTGACACATTCCATGTGCTCCCTTACAACAGGAGGACTTTGACGCCGGCGACAGGCGCCCCGCCGCGAAAGTGACACGCATCTCAAAACGGGGCCCTGCCGGCCCAACTGCCTCCACTGCGGAGCGCCATGCCGCGGCGGGGCCCGCACCGGCCCCGACGCCTGCAGAAGCGCAGCAGCAACCCGAAGCGACGCCGCAGCGGGGCGGCGCTGAAGATGGTGGGTCGCCTGCGGCGCGCGGGGCGGCCGGCGGCCTGCCTCCACTACAGCCTTGGCATTCCCGCTGCTGCTCATGCACCTGCATACATCCCCACACGCGCGACCCCGCTCCCCCACCTTTTTTGCCTCACGCCGCACGCGTGCACATCCCACCCGCGTTCCCAGCCCCGCCACGCCCCGCCGGCGTGCTCGCGCCGGGCATACCAGGAATCATGGGAGAAGTGATGGAGCGGCGCCCCGACGCCGCCGCAGCCGCACCCCCCGCGCCGCCCGCCGCGCCCGGCGCCGCGTTCCCCACCGCGTCACACCGTCGCGCGTCAAAGTTCTCCCTCGGCCGCCGTGCTGCGGCGGCGGCGCCGCCGCCGGCGTCCGCGACGCCCGCGGGAGGCGGCTGCGCCGCCGCGGATGCTGCTGCAGCGAGCAGCCCGCTTTCGACAGACGCGCAGGAGCTGGCGGCGATAGGCGAGGAGACCGCGCGCCAGGCGGCGGCTATGAGCCCAGGCGAGCGTCGAGAGGCGCTGGCAGAGGCGGCGGAGCGGTTTGGCACCGATAAGCTTGAGTTCTTGAGGAGGAGGGCGCAGGCAAGGCAGCAGGGCGGCAGCGCCGCCGCCGCGACCAGCGCGGCTGGCGCGCGTGGCAACGCTGCGGGCGCCGGCGCGGCAGGCGCAGAGGGGGCGCTGTCTTCGCGGCGTAAGCAGCAGGCGGAGCAGCGGGAGTTGCCCGTGGTCGCGGCAGCGGCAGGCAAGAGCGCACTGCGCAAGGGGTTTTTCGCTGCGCCCGCAAAGCCTTGCGCGGCCAAGCTGCAGCAAATGCAGCGGCAGCAAGAGCAGCAGCAGCAGCGGCAGCAGCAGCAGCAGCTCCAGAGACAACAGCAGCAGCAGCAGCAGCAGCAGCAGCAGCAGCAGCAGCAGCAGCAGCAGCAGCAGCAGCAGCAGCAGGACCAACAGCAGCAGCAGCAGCAGGAACAGCAGCAGGATCAGCAACTTCAGCAGCAGCCTGCCGCCGCCTCTCGCCCGACAGCCAGCACCACAGCCGCCGCCGCCGCCGCAGGCGCCGTGCCCCCCGCCGCACCCCCTGCCGCGGCGGCGCCGCGCCCGCTCGTCGCGCGCCTGCGCTTCGGGTTGGGCGCGCGGGTCGTCGGCGCGGACTCGCCGGGCCGGGCCGCTGACGAGGACGAGGCGGTTCTGCAGCGGGACCAGCTCAGCCGCGCGGCTGGCCTGGCGCCGGAGGGCTACACTCTCGGGGAGCTCCGGGCGCTCGCCCGCAGCCGCCACGCGCCGCAGCGCGCGGCGGGGCTTGCC